AGCAGTTCCTGTCTCATCAGCTCTGTGATGCACATGCAGGGCTGTTTAATTTCAAAGAGATTAGGGATGTCTTATAGCAAGGAATGCTCACTCTGCATCCCAGCCTGTGAAAAAGCCCAATATTGCTAACTGTAGCTCTATAGTGTTTGCACATTTAAAATAGCAATGCTTCAGGAACCCAATGTTTCAGTGGACAGACCTCCACACAGTCATACTCAAACTGTCTTTTTCCTGCATCCTTTTTAACCCATCCTGTGTATTCAATCTGAAGAAGAATTTTTGAATGTGGTAAAACTGTCAAGTGTTCAACTTGTTTTCTTTTTTTTCATTCTTTAACTTAATACTCTCTTATTTTTCTTCTGTCCCTGCTTAAAAGGATGCTTGTTATTTTGGAGAGGTGTTTGTTTCCATCTCCCATTATCTTATGCAGCTGAAAGAATGGCAAGCTAGGGCTCCATGTTGTAGGCTGTTGAATGTGCTAGTTTTTTGAAGAAAACCTGTGGATAGAAAGTACTGGATTCTGAAATAGACACCAAAAAAACTCTTTTTTGCTGTTGATCATCAGTGGCTGTTTTGTATTACAGGATGGATCTTGTTAGGGGATCCCTGCTGGCAGGGATGCTCCTACGTGTGCAGACCAGGCTGCAGGATCACTAGAAATGCTTGGATGCTAACTGCAAAATCACAAAAGCAGCCAGGAAGCACCAGCTCCTTCATTTCTCTAACTTTCACATGCACCCAAGCAAAGCAAACCCCTCAAAACATCTAGTTTTACTGCTGGATAATTCTGAGGCTTTCCAGGCAACCTGGACTGGTTGAATTTCTGAGCTGTTGGGCTGCAGAACTGGTGGTGCCTGAAATCACAGCATCTCAGAGAAGGAAAAAATCCCAGTGCTTTCCTTTGAGACTGCTTTTCACTGCCAGGATAAGGTCTCTGGGTAGATTTGCACTTCGTCACTGACCTCCTGATGCATTACTTTGGCAGCCAGAGCATTAAATCTGGGAGGGACATAAAAAGCGGTGGGTCCTCATGGAGTTATTTTGCATCATTTGGCTCTGGATGGTGGTTTCTTCTATCCCCACCAGCAGGCAAACATTTTTATTTCTGGTATATGTCATTACTGAAGAGGAGGAGACGTGTTCTGGGAATCCTCTTTGCATCTAGGGCTTTAAATGTGACTCACTGAACACCCACATACAAAGAGAAGGCCACATTCCAGCAGATGATTCCAAACTTTGACAGGCGCTGCAAAACCAGGCAAGTCTTACACCATTCAGTCCTTCTCGACAGAAAATGAATGAGAAAATGATCTTGCATTTTTTCTGTTTTGCAATTGCAGTTGCAAACCATAAATGCGTTTTGTCACTGTTTTGGAGGGAGATAAAAAATAATTAGGGAGGAATTCCTTTCCACAGGGAGGAACAGGATCAACGTAAACTTTGCCTGTTGTTCACTAAGGTGAGAAATAAATACAGCAAGCCAAGCAGAGGAAGAAGTTAAATAGAGGGTTAAATAGAGGCCAACGTACTGCAAAGCCTATCGCTTCCAGCAGAAGTTAAACACGTTTTCACACTGCAGCTCAGGTTTATATTTAGGCTTTCGGGCAGGCCGTTAAAATTTGTCCTCTTCCTGATCATTCTCCTTAAACAAAATACTTTGGCCATGAAGCATGTACAGAAGGGCAGTATTCAAAACCTTTCCCTAGCTGAATCCTGCAGGGACATAGCTTAGATCTGAGCATCTCAGAAGTAATTTTTCTGCCTTCTGGTGATGGGGAGGATGGCAGAAGTGAAGGTGCTGACAGCAGCTGTGCTGCACGCTGATTCCCCTGGAGTGGGAAACATAATGGTAACGGGGACTGTATATTTATAAACAAGGGCTTGTACATTAATGCTACAAACGTGGCAAAGGTTATAAGCAGCAGAACTATCTCTAATTAAATCATTTCACGGAGCTGGAAAAACAGAAGAGCTTTGAGCCTTAAAGCTTTGGTATTAATAAATGAGATTGAGTGAGTGAGTAAACAGATCAATTCACTTAATAGAAAAAGTAAATGGCATTGTCTGCCTCTCCCCTGCCCAGCAGCTGTTATTGAACCTGAGTTTTCTTCCAGCTGGAGATGAACATGCGGGACGGACGGACAGCAGGCTGCTCCCTGGGACATCCACACAGAGAGGACAAAAGTGGGAATAGAAATTTATTTGCTTGGTCTGCTGCCATTTCATGTTAGACTGAAATTGATCCTCTGGATGTACAGCTGTCCCTTTCCCCTCTGATATTTTAAGGAAGGGGAGAACTAGTATATTGCAAAATCTTTCCAAATGGATGAGATTTGAGCTCTCTGGCTTACTTGCTGTGTGCAGGCAGAGATCTACAGATGCACGAAACCATCATTTAGGAGAACAGGTGTTTTCCAGTTGTGTTCAAGGCCCTGAAGGCTGAGGACAGCATGTGTGCATCTGAGACAGCTTTTTTCCTTGAGAATGCAAGTGATTGTACTAGAATGTGAAGTGAAATCTGTCTCTACAGTAGCTGCCTTGGGCCTGGGAGGTGTGCGCCCACCATCCCTGGGCGTGCTCAAGAACCATGGAGATGTGGCACTGAGGGATGTGGCTCGTGGGCATGGTGGGGTGGCTGATGGTTGGACTGGATGATCTTAGTGGTCTTTCCAACCTTCGTGGTTCTATGATTGGGAAGAACACAGATGTGGAAGGAATGCTGGACTTAGTGATCTTAAGTAATTTGAGTCTCCTTCAAAATACTGACCTGGCCATAAATATTACCTAAGTTCTGTTTAGGCGTAATAGCCAAGAATGGTTCCTAGCCACATGAGCTTTACCACTGCCAGACAGCTAAAATACTGAAAATAATCTGAAATAGAAAACTCCTTCAAACAGCATTTTGTAGCATTGCCACATAGTGCCCAAATCCAGAGGCTGGCTTTGTTTGAAGACTTAAACCATCCCCAGCTATAAACTTGTACAAATGACTCAGGTGAAGGTTGCTGGTCCTCTCCTTCTGTAAAATACCAGCAATGCTGCTGTTCTGGTACCCCGGTTCCCCCCTCTCTCCACTGCTCCTGTTGTCCCGGGGCTGAGGTCTGTGGGTGCCACTGGGTGCAGGCACCTCCTGGCAGCCAGGCTCAGCCGCCCGCCCGCCTCTCCTCCTGGCGACAGTTACTCTAAACAGCAGGGCTGGTGTTTATCCTCAGGGCTTGACTCCATCAATTCACCCAGTTTACATTGGGGAGTGGCAGTAAAACGTAACGCTTCGGAGAATTCTGACTGCACGCACTCCCACGTAGGAAGCCAAGAAATACTTTGTGGCCCTCAGCCCCTTGTGGGGTGGGTGATGGAGAACACCCCAGGGTGAGGGTCAGGGCCTGGGGCTGCATGCTGTGCTCTGGCTGCTGAGTTCTCACTGCAGTCAGCTTCTGGGTGGGGGGGACACATCTAGCAGGGCTGGAGGCCACAGGGGGGTGGTGGCAGCAGAAAGGAGTTCCTGAAAGGGAATGGGAGAATGAAAGGGTGCTGAAAGAAAAGGGTGAGGATGATGAGACTGGAGGGGAGGCCTGAGAGCAAAGCTTGCTTGTTGTGTCCCATTGTCCGAAGTGATGTTTCAGCTCCTGCTGCCGAAATGCTGACTGCAGGTAGCAGCGCTGCAGCGCTGATTGGAACATCCCAGCGATGCTTGGTGGGGACTGATGTCACACCTGCAGGCATAACGGTGAAAAGTGAAGCTGGCAGCTGGCCCAAAGGCTCCAGCAGATGGGAATCCCTAAATGTGGACAGACCGAAACAGGTTTTTAGAGACAATTCATGAAGTACTGAGAGTTGAGAACAGTGTTTCTACAGCCACCCTCTGCTGATAGAGCTCTGTAGCTGCTTTGTGTTCTGCCACTTCCCTGGGGACAAAGAGAGAACACCCCCTAACTCTCCTCTCCTTGAAATCATAGGGCTCCCACAGAGCTGCTTTATGGCTGACCCTCTTCTCTAAAAAGCAACATACAAAGCTAGATCACACCAGGAGATTCCCTGTCCCCTCGGCAGCCAGGACTCAGGACAAATGCATTAATTGCTTGACTTGTTATCATTCCAGATCACTTGTTCTGCCTGTTTGGGAGTTACATTCCTCAACAGGTTTGGATTCAATTTCATTCAACAGTTTTGTAACCACGGGTAACTGCAGCAGTGACGTGGCTGTGCTCTGCTGTGAGGAGGCTGTCATGGTTGTCAGGTTTTAAAATCAACCTGCTTTGACAGCTCTTCTGCTTTGCAGAATTCACCTTGCAGAGTCTGCTTTGAAAAAGCTGGTAAAATTATTTTAGTGTTTGAAGCGTTTAATCTAAAAGGAAAAGAAGAGTAGCAGTTCATGAGTGCCTTTGTGAAAGACTGATAGGTTTCCAGAGATACAAGGTCTGTCTGTTTTCTTTTTAGGGAGTACACATTAGAATAAGTTTACTTTGTTCCAGGGCATATTGTGAAGGATGAGGTTCAGTACACTTCATTTTGTGCTTGGATTGGAGGAGCCCATAAATTGTAGAGGTTTTGGAAGTGCCAAGGGCAGATAAGTCTGCCTATGGTCAACAAAGGTTGCGAGGCTTTGCTTTTTCTTCTCCTTCCTTTCTGAATATCTGCAGCATTGTTATTAACTAATAATTCTAAATTAAGCTGTATTCATCTTGATTCCAGTGGTATCTCTTCTTTATGTCCTTTCCTCAAAACTGTTCCAAATAGTCTTCAAAAGAAATCAGTTACAAGCCTGCCTGAGCTCTCATACAGATACCTGACATTCTTCATGCAAGTAAAATCACGACAATAAGCTGTAAAGGATTTATTATTTTTTTCAGTCTTGTGCACCGCCGTGCCCAAAGGCCCTGGAAGTTTGTCCTTGCTCCAGAAAGCCTCTCTGGGTAATAAATGAGCAGGTGCCATCAGTGGAAGGCAGAGAGCGGAGTTCCTGCTTCCCACCGGCAGTGCTGGTAAGCAAAGGTTTTCAAACCCCGGTAAGGTGAGAGCTGTTTTGGAAAGATAAAATCAGCAGCAATTAAACGAGCTCTTAATTAACCAAATATTCCCCCTGCTTGGCTTTCCAAATTATTCAATAACTGAACAATTATAATGAGCTCAGCAAGTAATTACAATTCATAATAGACCGTGCCCTCGCCAACTGCAGCTTTCTCAGCACGAGCCGTGAACATGCCAGGAAATGAAGCCTGTGAGGTGTGAGTCAAACAGCTGAAAACAGGAACAAACCACCTCGTTTTGGAGGTGGTGGGAGGAAAACTGCTGCCTCCATCCCAACTCTGTGCTGAATCCTTCAGTGTGCAGTCCAAGACTTAGAAACCATCACACAAACAATGAGTGTGGATCAAATCTGCAGTGCTATCTCTTCAAGGATGCTTTGGCAAAGCAGGACAAAGCAGGGCTTAAGCTGGAGCAGCAGCCATGGAAATGTCCTGTTTTGCCCCCAGCTAGGCAGACTGGAGCTGTGGGATGCAGATTCCTTGGCTGGAGCTGCAGAATTTGCTGGGAGCAGTCATGCAGTGCCTACTTTGTGGTTACGCTGTGGAAATCAATAGAGACTTCTGCCTTCTCCCCAGGCAGCAAGAAGCAACAGACATGAGAGGTACAACACTTCCCCAGAGCCTCACAACTCTCTCTCTGTATGTTTTGGGGTCTGGTGGGGGCACTTTCACTCTGGAGGATGGAAGGAGGGACTGCAGCATGAGGCAAAGCAAGGATGGAGTACACAGAGACCAAAGAAGTATGGAAGATTAAAACAAGAGCACCAAAGGCAGCAACACGCTGAAAGCAAAATGAGTCTACTGAACAAACAAACTGAATCCACCATCCTTCTGTAAATGCTGCTCAGAATGAGGGGAATGTGACACTATTCAGGTACAGGTCCTGGGCTAAAGTCAGTAATTATCCACAGACAGGGCCTGAAACACACACCTCACAGCTCCTTAAGTTAAACATCTACTGCAGAATGTGAGAGAAGATGGAAGGCCTGTTAAGATGCCGCTTTGATGCTTTTCCTTTTTCCTTTCTGATGTCTAATCTGGTGCCCTCCCTATTTCCATGCACTTCCTAGCAGGATGTGGCTGCTGCAACACAGCACAGTTTTCCTGTGATCCCATTTGGGTTAATGAGCAATCTGCTGTGGCACAGTAATGTTTCACCTTTGCCTTGTGCAGGTAGCAGAGCCCTCTGCCCACGCTGGGCCCCCTCTGGGGCTTTGTGCATGACAGTGGTATTGGGGGACGTGAGAAGTTTTCCCAGGCTTAAAGCTTTTTTTCTCTTGCCTTTTATTGAACTAAACCCCAAACTTGTTGCTGTTCCCCCTCCTCTATATAACAGATAAATAGTGAATTCCCAGGGCCTCCAATGCTTGGTAGAGAGAAGATTCACTTGGATGGAGGGAGGGAAAAGAGTGGGTGCTGTTCCAGCTGTGCCTCCACTTAAACAGGAGCTACAGAGTTCTCCCCATCACTTTCTCATCCCCCCTAAGAGAAGATGCTGTGGAGACAGAGGCAGCACTCGGAAATCCAGGAGACCTGTGCCACAACAAACTTGTGTCTGTATTAAAACAAACAAAGTAAAGCAGCAAAGCAAAGCTACTCAGCTGCTGTTTGCTGAGTGTAGGCAATTACTCGTGCTGTGCTGTGCCTACTGCAGGAGGAGGCTCCTTGATTTAATCATTCCAAACAGATGGCAAGAACACAATGACAGGGAGTGATGCCCTCACCTCTGCTGGTCCCACCACTCCCAACCCGTGACATGGGGAGGAAGAGGCTGCCAGGAGGTGAAGAGCAGAGTTTGCTCCCTGCCATGCCTCCTGCTCTTGGCTCTCACTAGCAGAAGTGTGGAGCAGCAGTGCCACGAAATAATGATGCTTTTATCAGGAGCATCGTTCCAGCCGTGCTCCCTGAGACGCCAGCCAAGCACAGCTGCCATGGCTGCAGGCTGAGCGATAATCTTCACTCCCTGCCTGCCATTAATCTAAAAATGGATGAGGAGTTCTTCTGGTACACAAACATTCCCTCCATTCAAGCACTAAAAGCCAACTGGAATCCCAAGCTGTCCCTAAAAGGAGAGTGCTTTACTGCTGTGCGTAATATCTCTCATCTGAGGATCTCAAAGCATTTCACACGTGTCGCTGGTGTCTTAAAACACTTGTGCAAAGCATGGAAACCACATCGCTGGTTTATAGGCAGCAATGGGTGGCTTCTACAAGGTCACACAGAGAGTCCCTGGGGTTGTGAAGGAGCAGCCGGGGCTTCCCACCTCCTCCCATGGCTGATAATCTCTCCAGCTCAGATGTCGAGCGCTGCCCAGATAGGTGTACAGCATCACAGCACTTGTAAATGTGGGCTTTATTGGCTATCTTGTTCTAAGCCTGCCTGGGATACTTATCAGCAGCCTTCAGGATGAGTGGCCTCACGATGAGAGTCCTGTTGCCAGTGATGGGAAGGAGGATAACTGTACATTGAGAGGGATCAGATAACTGCCGCCTTGTGCTGCTGCTGTTGCTCTTGAGCCCTGACACTGAAGCTGCTTTCAAAACATGGGGGTGGAAGTAACTCAGAAGAACGGCATCACAACTGGAGCCTAAGATATTCCCTTCTACAGCGTTGAATGAAGGAAAACAACCTCTTATGAAAGAAAAAGCAGAAACTCAACGCATCTGTAGGGTTTTCTAATGCAGTGTCACCTCCTGGGGGGCTTCTTGCATGAGCTGCCCCTATAGTTCCCAAATGTGAAGGCAAGACGTGAAACTAAATGGCTTAGAAGTGTTATGAGTTTGATGGAAGCCTCTGATGAGGTTTGCAGGAGCACGTATGTGAAGCACTAACTGTCTCCAGAACTCGGTGTTTATGGACACAGCACATTTAGATTCAGGAATCTGCCTTGCTTTGTTTGGATGAATTCATATTTGTTTTTAGTTAAGAATTCAGGAGCTGAATTCAAGATCCTAACGGGCGTGCACAAGGAAAGGCTGACAGCACCGTAGTGAGACGTGGCCGAAATGAGCTCAGCAGCTCTCACTTCTTCCTTATCAGCTCCATTTTGCTTTGAGAGCTGTGCTGTGCCATATGCAGCTGATAGCACTGGGTGGGTTGGCATTGTGTACCCTTATTTGTTACTTTTCCTCCAGATAACTTGATGGAGGATCTGGGGAGGCTCTTTCCCAATATGGAAGAGATTCAGCAAACTCTTCACCTTGCTCCTTGCTGGAGAAGCATTCCTAGTGTTTACAAAAATACTTCGTTTACACAAAAAATGAAATGACCTGTGAGTTCTAAGGAGGATCACAAACAGAGCCTCAATGCCAGAAGAATTCTTCAGAATTCCTTTTTCCCTTTTACAGTTATACCTTTTCTTGGGAAACAGGGGAGGGGAGAGGAGGAAAACACTGCCAGTTTTGCTTCAGTATGTCCCATTGGGAGCCTTCTCCCTGGGGCCAGGAGGCTGCACTGGGACCATGGATCACTGGGCTCAGCTCTGAGCACGCAAAGCCCACCAGGCTTCATGAAACTCCAGGCCATCCACATCCCCCCATGGAACTTTGCTGCCAGAGATGCATGCTTTCCCTCTGCTGTGCTTCAGGTACATTTCTCATCAAGGACAAAGAAGCTTGTATCACAGTAGTAGTAACTATTTTAAAGAGAACTTATTTCCTGAGAAGCTGCTGCTAGAATTCTGAAGGCAAAGCAATAGCTGTCCTGTCCCTGTTCGTTGCAGAGGAGTTGGGCTTTAAGGGTCACAGTATCATAGAATCACCAAGTTTGGAAAGAATCCTCCAAGTTCATCCAGTCCAACCACCCACCTACCACCAACACCTCCCCACTAAGCCACATCCCTCACTACGACATCTGAATGTTTCTCAAACACCTCCAGGGATGGTGACTGCACCACATCCCTCAGCAGGCCATTCCAGCACCCAGCCACTCTTTTGGAGAAGAGTCGCTTCCAACTCACATGGTTCTGTGATTTCTTACAAGCCATAGCAATTAACTCTAAGTCTCTGGAATTCCCCAGAAAAACTAACAGTAGCAAGTATATGAAATGGCAAAAAGACACCTGGCTAAGCTGCAGTCAGTCATCAAGCCTGGGTGTTTCCATGTGTGCTGCTAGCAAGGCTGTGCAAAATGATGGGAATAAGTCAGTCTGGGTTTGCAAAGGAAGAAATGTGGGAGAGCAAAGTTAGCTTGGGAGTGGGCTTCTGTGCATAACAGACTCACTTTGTCCAGAAGATACTGCAGTAATGTTATATTTTAAAGAAATTAAAAGCTCTCATGTAGTCAGGTTGAAAACCCTAAAAATAAAAAGCTCATTTTCTTCCTGAGAACCTCGGGCTGGAAGAGAGCTGCTGCCACCAGAGGGACTCCCAAGTACGACGGCCGACGGTGGGCCTGACTTCAGGATTTCCCTCATTTGCTCTCTTAGGTTGCATGGAAGTTCATGCAATTTCTATTCTGACCATGCTGACAGGGCACAGATGGTGCATTGAGTTCTGGGCACAGCAAATGTGTCACCTTGCCCAGTCTCCTCAGCTAATGCACCCAGCCCTGCAAGGTACAAAGTGCCCATAAAACCACCTCTATTTCATGGGATTTCCTGGTATTCAGACATACAATAGGCACTTAATAAGACTTAAAACGTTAATGATTTGCTTGTATTCAGGACTAAGTGGCAACGTGAGGTTTTGAAGCATTTACCACAAACACGCTGTTAAAAAGCGCAGAAGAACGCGATGAAAAATGTGTGATTCAAGGTGAAGCCTGCAGAAAATCAGCGAGACCCAAATGTGTTCTCCAGGGCATGGGGGGAATGAGCGCTCTCACTTGTCTCATGAAGCACAGCCTTTTCTCTTTTCAAGTGAAAACAGAGAAATTGCTGTTATTGCAGTTGGTGCTCCCTTAGATCAAAGGAAGGAACAAGCTCTTGAGCGCTTTTCTTTCACTGTCTGCTGGTTTTGGTGTTGTGTTCTGGGGAGACAGAGGGGACAGTGAGCCATGAAACCTGAAAGCCAAAGGGTGCTGCAGAAAACTTCTCATGACAAAGCTGTTTTCCTTCCTTCGTAATAATGTCTGGAGTTTTGCAGTGAGAACCCAGAGTTCTACACTCTCCCCAAATGTGCTGGGTGAGCAAAGCTGCCCCATATGGGAATCCTATAAGATGTGTCAGCCACAGACAGCACTCTGTGCCATGGACACGAGGCAACCATCCCACTCCAGACTCATCCACCAGGCTGATTTGGTTTTGCTGTTAGACGAGGTGAAGACAGTCTCCTGATGCAAGCATACAGAGAATCGTCCAGGCTTCCCATCCACAGACGAGAGGAACTCAAGTTCAAACACCCACCCTGGCAGGATATTTATTAAGCAGTCAGAGCTACTGCCTTTTGGCAGTGCAGCAGCTCCAACGAGACAATAAGAGAGATGCTGTTTATACAGTCCACCTCTTAAACTGCACTCTGGTTCCTGGGAGTAGGGGAGATTCCAAGGAGCCGCGTTCCCAATGCTCTGCACCCGGCTGAGCACCTGGGAGGATGCAGTGTTGCACACTGTGCTGCTAACAGGCTGGCATTCATCATGCACAGCAGTGTCCTCTGATTGCTGGCCAGTTTGGCTTGTTAAACAGGCTCTCCCCTGCCCAAATGACATGCTTTATGGTGCCTGTTAGTTTACTGGTTCTTTGCAGGGTAAGAGCATGCGGGTTCACAAGAGCCTGATGGCAGAGAGAAGCAGCTCTGAGTGGGAAATGAGATGAGTGACAAACACACAACATTTCACCTTCCATCTGGATGCTCCCCATCAGCCCCTTGATGCTGACTGCGCTGAGGCTGCAGCACAGTCCTGCTGGAGACAGCGAGGGCATGGCCACCCAAAGTCACCCCACAGTGTGTTAGGACTGTGTAAGCTTAAATCTGCTCTTATTTCTTTTCCCAAGCACAGCTCCTTCCCAGTTTCCCCTGCTTGCTGATAATGATGGTTTTAGTCTCGTTGGCACTAGATGTTTTTGCATGTGATTTTTCTTAGGCAGGAAGCCTACTCCCTAATGCTCCTCTTGATACCCCTACAGCTCTCCAATCACCTGCTTCCATTATGCACCTGGTGACATACACACTATTCCTATGGAGTAAGCATCCGTCCTATGGCAGCCTTGTCATGCTGTGGGGGGGACGGTGGCCTTTCAAGGACCTTCCCCTTTGGCCAAGCACTGGAAACCAAACCATCAGCACTGTGGTGGGTTTTTCTTATGCTCAGAGGGCATCACAGCACAGCACAGCACATCTTGGGGATGACACGTGTGTTCCAACCTTCCGCCCTTATCATAGAATCGTAGAATCAAAGAATCACAGAATGGCCTGGGTTGAAAAGGACCACGATGCTCATCTAGTTTCAACCCCCCTGCTATGTGCAGGGTTCCAACCACCAGACCAGGCTGCCCAGAGCCACATCCAGCCTGGGCTATGCTAAGGCTTAGAATCGTAGAATCACAGAATCATGGAATGGTTTGGGTTGGAAGGGACCTTTGAGATCATCTAGTTCCAACCTTCCTGCTACAGGCAGGGACACCTCCCTGTAGACCAGGGCTTATCTCTGTTGCTCTTACAGGGCAGTGACTTCCAGCCTCAGAAATAGGAAGGAAAGGGAAAGGAACAATGGCTTCAGAATGAATAATAATTAGAAATGAATTAGTTCCTGAAGAGTTGTTCTTTTCAAGTGGTGAAGGCTGTTCTACCCTACCAATTCCCAGCAAGAACTGTGCTCCAGTGCCCCTTGTTGCTAAGGGAGTTGGCACCATCAGGTTCATTCCTACCACCCAGCCTAGAGAGCAGCAAAGTGGTCGCCAGTGGTTCAAACAAAGTTCCTGTGGTTAGAAGTAATATATGGCAATGCTAAGATCAGTTATTTATTCCCCCTCCCCAAAAGCACCCCCAAACCTGCACCGGCATGAAGAATGCCTGATTGCTGGCACAGAAATGTGTTTCCCTGGTCTTCATCCTATACTTGCCCTGAGGGGATTATTTTTTTCCCCTGGTAAATGCGTCCCTCTGGACTGGGAGGGGGCACCTGGTGGAGGTCCATACTTTGTGTTATGAACAGACGTGTTACAGTTTACAGGCATTTCTAACATCTGTGGAGGAAGTTTTGCACTAGATGCAATGTGGGAAGAGAATGAGCAAAGTACATGGAGGCAAAATGCTTGTGAGGAAATGTCATGAATCTATGGGTTCCTTCTGTGAGTCTCAGGATACACGTTTCAGTTATTATTTTGGAGCCTCAGGTCTTTGAGTGATGGCATTATAACAATTCCTGTTTTCCCTTCCAAAGTAAATTTTCAGATTTTTCGAACTGTTGTCTGTAGAGAAAGGGTCTGAGCCAAAAAACAAAAACAAAAACAAAACCTCCAAAACAGTGGGAAATTAAAATAATCTTGGATAGAACACCTGAAATATTACAAGTCTGTGTAGATAACCCTGTGGTTTCTGAATGTTTAGAGTTTGCAGTGCTGCTACAGTGAATTTTAAAAGAGTTGCTTTAATCCTGAGCTGTAGTGCACCATAATGTGACAGGAAATAGAAAAAGGGGCTTAAGGGTCTCCTTAGGCACACTTGGAACACATAACAGGGATATATAGGGCAAACCCAGGGCTTGCAGCTAAATTAAGTTGGACAGGACAATTCCAGACCTTTGCTGTAGCCTGAGGACAGCAGAGGAATCGCGCAGGAGGAACCACGCAGAGCACAGCTTGAAAGGAGTTTTCTGAAGAAAGTATCCACCTCACCGTCCTTACCCAAACCAGAGGGATTCGCCCACCCCAGCTGCTGGCAGGACTCCCCGGACAGCCCCAAGGCAGAAAAAATCAAAAAAACATCTCACTGTATTCCAGCACACACAGCTGCTTACAGAGTGACCAGCAGACAGGAGGTGTGAGGACCCTGTAGGGCAAAGGGTGCCCAAAGCCCTACCTCGGCCAGACGCTCTTCTGGTCCTGATGTCTGCTGAGAGCCTCCTCTTCCTCACTTGTCCTTCAGCGTGGCCATGCCCAGGGCCTCCGAGCTGTAGTCGTATTGGTTGCTGGAGGACATGGAGCGTCCCCAGGAGCACTGCAGGTTGGAGCCCCTCTTGCGAAAGGAGGAGGTGAACCTGTAGAAGTTGCGGTGCCGGTTGCGCAGGTACTCCCGGTAGTTTTTGGTGAGCAGGGTGTAGAGGAAGGGGTTGATGCAGCTGTTGCTGTAGGTCAGGCAGGTCACCAGGTAGTTAATGCACTTTTGGGTTTGGGTGGTGAGCTGCAGGGGGCTGCTGTAGAGTCGCACCAGCTGCCAGATCCAAAAAGGCAGGAAGCAGGCCCAGAAGACCAGCACGATGCTGAAAATCATGATGAGGACCTTCTGCCGCGGGGACCTCTTGCTCTTCTCCTTGTGGGGTGGGTTCCGCTGGGACTCCAGGTAGGTCCTGGCCAGGCGCGTGTAGAGGAAGCCGATGATGATGCCGGGGGCCATGATGCTGGTGCTGAACAGCACCGTCAGGTAGGTCCGGTAGGCGTCCATGCTCCAGGTGGGCGCGCACATCCTCTTCACCTTGCCCTCCGCCTTGCTCCCCTCGGTCAGGGTGACCATCAGCATCATGGGCAGAGTGAGGAGCAGCGACACGGACCAGACGGCGCCCGCCGTCACCTTCCTGTATCCGCGTGAGCGCTTCAGGGTGTCCAGGGGCCGCGTGACGGCCAGGTAACGCTCGGTGCACATCAAGGTGAGGGTGAAGATGCTGGCGTGCATGGTGAGCAGGTCCAGGCTGAGCAGGATGCGGCACCCCAGGTCTCCAAAGTACCAGTCCTGGGCCAGGTAGGTGCAGACGATGAAGGGGATGGTGGAGAGGTAGAGCAGGTCGGCCAGGGCCAGGCTGACGATGGAGCTGTACATGGGGGCGGCGCAGCGCGCCGAGTGGCACATCACCACCAGCGTGTACACGTTGCCCGCCACCCCGGCCACGTACATCACCGACAGCACCGTCCCGAAGTCCGACGGGATGAGCAGAGGGCCGCCCTCGGGGGGG